GCTTCATAATTGCATTAGGTAGCTATTTAAAAAATGATTTATGAAGCACAAACTTTAGACACATCAAATGTCCATTATGTACATGTACATGTATTTACCAGTGAAAGTGTGAGGAGCAGTTAGGACATGTAACCACATCTTCACTAAACCTGAACAACAGATCCCTTGAATGACAAACACCACATTCTGTACCATTAGCTGAACATTTCTACAGTACATAAAAATATTACAAGATAACACGTTACTTTAGTTACAAGTACATCATGCATGGCTACCAATAGGAGAGGGCAAGGGGGGAATTAGCAGTAGGCCCCCAATTAAAGGGGCCCCCTAGTCTCAGGTTTATAGTAAACTCTTGGGGCTTGGGGGCCTAACACAAACTTTAAAATATAACTTTCAAATTTGATGACATAAGCGTAATTAAATGTACATCTACAACATGTAAATCTTTTTCAAAGACAAAAGCTTCAAGACATAAACATGTACTTATACATGCACATTACCAAGACTACCGTAAAAGGGGAATTTTCGTCCTTTATAAACTTTCGTTGATAGGCTCATCCACGAAATTATTTCAAAATAAAATTTATACAAAACGTATAAATACAACAACAAAATTTTATAATACACGAATAATTAAAGCTACAGTAGAAAAGGACGGGGCAGTAGTAGTATAAAAACGTCTATCAAGCAGCACTTTAAGTAGGTTCTTCCTAGTCCTGGTGGTTCTCTTTCAGCTGAAATTGATCCTGAGGTAATACAGGTAATAGATCCTCCTCTCCTCAAGAAAAGAGAGCATATCTTTGATACTTTCCTAAGAAGATAGCCTATCACAGTACTGCCCTTTATTATACAGCTACAGCGTATCTGTCTTGTGAATTTATTGGCTCTCTCATATACAGTTAAGTTCCTCTCCAACAACTGGTGTCCATATATCTTGATAAATGTGATATCCTCGAATGCACAGCACTACTTCATAGTCCTCCATTATCTTTGATTCCTTGTGTTTCACAAATTTAACTTGGGGTATTATGGAGAGATTTTTTTCAAAATTTTAGCATTTTATTAAAATGGTTGTAATTTCAAAAGTAATAACCTGGGATCAGCTCAAATTTTCTACACTGCATAAGGATATCAATGTGTATCAGACCATAGGGGTGATTTCAGGGCAAAATTTTGAAAAGATCCAAGGCTCTAATAGCTTTGGGTAATTTTTAGAATTATGACATTTCCTTAAAATGGCCATAACGTGAAGAAATTAAAGCTTGAATCAGCTTAAACTTTCTACAAAGAACAAGGACATCAATATGTACAGGTATACAGTATAATTGGCCACACCCTCACTGACATCACAATACTATTATTAACTTGAACTATATCATATACCTTCATTATTGAAGAGAATGTCTCACTCCTTGAGTCAGTAATGGCCTCCTTCTTAAGTAACTCATCATTCAAACTGTTTATAAACTCAATGGATTTATCCTGTGAATGTACAATTAAAAATTGATGAATACATGTACAATATTAACTTTAGGTATATGCTATGTACATGTACATGCACACTCACCTCTATTGATATAATGTTCATTCCTAACTCTCTCAGTTAAAAAACTTGAAAACAAACCAAACGGCCTAAAAATAACAATAATATTAATTAATTAACTAATGATTATGTTAATAATAATTAACTAAACATAACAAAAATAATTATAAAGAAGCCATTATTTCTCTTCAAATGCATGCATACATACAGGTACATGTATTGCTATACTACATGTACAGTAAGTTTGAGCTGATACTAGTGTTGTTCTAGTATGGAATTGTATTTTAGTTCTAGTTCTAGTTTTTTGACTAAAAATACTACTATTTTAGTTCTAGTTCTAGTTTTTAACTAAAAATATATTAATTTTAGTTTTAGTCCTAGTTCTTTGACAAGAAATACAATAATTTTAGTTCTAGTTCTAGTTTTTTGACTAAAAATACAGTGATTTTAGTTCTAGTTCTAGTTTTTTGACTAGAAATACAATAAATTTAGTTCTAGTTCTAGTTCTCTCACAATAAATACAACAATTTTAGTTCTAGTTCTAGTTTTTTGACTAAAAATACAGTGATTTTAGTTCTAGTTCTAGTTTTTTGACTAGAAGTAGTGTGATTTTAGTTATAGTTCTTTAAACTAAAATTTCTAGTATTAGTTTAGAACTAAAGCCTCCAATACTTACGTTCCAGTTGAGTCATGCCAAAAATTGGAGTAATTTAAATACTAGTAGTAGCTCTTAACTAAAATCTTTTTTGTTATATTGCTGAGTTATGCTTCAAATGTACATCAAATGCAATATACACAAAATAATAAGTTTTACTGCTGCCAATAAAATGATCAAAATGTCACAGGTACAGTTTATATAAAAGTGTAACAGCTAGGCTTTGCCTAAAACATGTTCACCTGTTTATTGTAGTAGTTTGTCACCAATATTTCAAT